TTTTACTTTCTACCATTTTTAAGCCTACTTCTGCAGGAGGGTGAAATAGTATCACTGCTACAAACGGTGAATATCGGCGTACGAGAGTTGGATCAGCTAAGGGATGCGGCAGCGTATATGGCAACAGCAGTCACGACTCAGATTGTGCCACCGATCGCTTTAGCTCACTTTATACTTGACCGATTGAGTTACGCGTACAATGTGTGCGAAGTGGATCAGAATGGGTACGAAATATCGATTTTCTTTCAATTATGAATTTGTTAAGATTCATGGCTGATTCAGACAACCGAGTAGCCGCTTGTTGCCTAATCGCCTTGGTGCCCGCCGTCCTCAAGACGACGACCTCGCGTTGAAGGCTGCCCTTGATGCAGTTGGTGCAAGGCCACTGTTCTCCGACGAGGATTATCCTCTGTTGAGTGAAGCTGTTCGTCGACAGAAGGGAGAGCTGGCGATAGCATTGCTGACACGGTAAGCAGCTGGTTCAGAAGTTCCGCTTCTTTTATTCGTCACGAATTAGGAAGGATGTTGCTTGTTTGCTGTTTGAATAATCTGAAGTTTTCATTTCAGGCATAGAGATTCTACAGAAAAGCTCGGTCTAATCTTAGACAGACTTCTGGATCCGTCCATTCACAAGATGTATTCGTGAGTTAATATTCTTTTTATAACTAAAAATGTAAATGAATTCTGGTGGTCATTTCCAGTAGCTCATAACTAAAGTTTACTGTTCAGAAGCTTTGCATTATCTATGAATTCTAAAACAGTATCTTTTTCGGGGAGTATAGCCGAATAGACTAAATAGGGATTGACTTGAAGGTCAGTTGTGGATCTGGCGAGGGGTCGCGCGATGCGTTCCAAGAACGTCAAATTTGATACTTGGTATTTCCACATCCCAGCAGGCAGCAAGTTCCCACAAGTTTTTCAGATGGCATCAGTCGAACGCGGCGTACTTTCTAGATCGAGATCCTGTATATCTCAAGCTAGGCCAGCGAGGGCAGCGTCCAGCTTTTCCTATCCCTTCACACACGCCGCCTGTGTTAAGGTAGGTTACGATCGATTTCGGCTAATTGTAGCATTGAGATCAAGTGGATATTGTAGATCTGTTTCACTGCAGTCGGCTGACTCAAAGAACAGCGCTTTTGATGAAGAAGTAGAATGTATCTCGGAGCAAATGCAGTCACTCGCAACGAGGTAGGCCGAAAAGCGTTTTTTTTTTTCTTGTTAGAAAGTAATCTCAATCAGCACGCCACTGTTAGCACTTTTTGTATTTTGATATTAATCATTCACCACTCGAGGCATAGTTCTTCTGATGAGGGGTTAATGAAAGCTTACGCAGCGTACTTGCCTACCTCTGGCATCTGTTATAAACCGGAAACAGCCGAGTCCAACCGGCGTACAAGTCGAAGCCACTTGGTAGCAAGGCCCAAGTTAGTTGTTGTTATGGAATCTGTTATGTTTTTGTGCTCTTAAGACAGGTGTAGAAAATTTAAACAACCACCTTTTTTAGAGCGGGCGGATTAGTTAACCAGTATCGTGTTACCACGGAAGCAACATGCTCCAGTATATGGCATGAGTTAGCAAAAGCGGGGTTGTTAACTGAGGGCAGGCGAGGAAGTCACAAAGTTCCGTTGTCTGTTGCTCCCAATTGGGCAGGAGTCCTTAGGTTATTGCTTATCAGCGCTATATATTGAACAGCTTATTTTTCTGTCTTAGTATTTAATAAAAAAAAAAAGCCAAAAAATGTTGTTTCATTCGAAAGCTTCTTTTCAATGGGACTGATGACACTTTCCAAGGGTGTTTACACTTATTTGTTTGGTTTTAAATATTTTTGAGGATACAAAAGCTTTCCGTATGTGCTTTGGTTTTAAAGATGATTCTATTCAAGCTGGCTAATGATAAAACAACACAATCAAATATACCGCGACAAAACATACTGAATTTTTTTTAGCGGGGCCCATATCGGAATACTGCACAAGGTGCGCGTTTAAGGTGTGGTTATGTATTGCTATTGGTTCCTTGCACAATTCAGTTGTGTGCTGTTACCGAGTTTGGAGCTTCGAGGACTGTTACAGGCATCACATTGTTTCGTGCGATTTAACTTAGCAGCTTCTTGAACTTCGGGTACGATTTTTGGTTGAAAATGCTAAGGGCAGGTGTTGTTGAGCGACAGTTATTGTTTTCAGGACTTATGGCGATTGAAGTGGTTCGTGAGACGTGGCCGACCCATTTGACGCCTTCCGAAGCTGCGGGATTTGCTGGACACAAAGGTAAGTTTTGCTATTTTCTGAGTTCTTGTCCTCAGTGCTAGGAGTTTTTCACCTGACATCGGACACAATAGTCGATTTTAGAGATTAACTAGGCCGCTAATAAAACAACAGACTGTTGGAAAAGGTGATGTTTTTTTGTAAAACATGCTAGACAACCCACAGTGTTATTACTAAACTTTCATTTGAATGTTCCATCCTGCATGTCCATAGTTCAGTATTTTCAAGTGGAGGTGCGACCTTTTTATTTCCCCTTTTCCACTCCTTTTCGGCTGAAATTTGTCTTCTTCCCACTTGAACTTAAAAGCTTTACTTTCGGTCTTTCAAAAATCGCTCTCAGTTTTTTCTTTTCTGCATTGAGCTGTTTGTGGAACTTGGAATCCATTACGCGTTTTGAGTTGATTTTCTCTAGGCTGGTCAATCACGTGATCCTGCTGTAGTGGAAGAAGCTGCCAGACTGGCACTCTCGGTGTTACCGTACGCCTATACCCTAAGCGCAGCTGAAACGCAACGTGCCCTCCTACAATGTCGCGAACAAGGAGCTGCACTTCTGGAGAGTGCTTGTCGCGCTATTGAAGAGGTGCGTGTCACGGTTCTCCTATTCTTCCTCTTTGCTTTGTAAGGTTTCATGAAGTCTTATCTCTTGCTGTTTTCCTAATTCATAGTTTTTGAAGGCTGCCAATCAAGAAATCGTGTTTGCTGATGTCTTATTCCGAGTAGCACGGTACTGGCACGACTTACACTATGAGCTCGATCATCCAACTGTACATCAACAGCAGCACCAGAATCAAACTGGATCTCAGGCTGTACCATTTAACTCCAATAACCAACATCAACAATATTTTAACCTTGTAGGTGATCAATCATTGTTTATTGGCATTAGAACCTCATGAAAACCCGAATTTAGCCCTCTACTCATGCTCAACAACAACAATTTTACTATCAACATATTCACCCCTCACAGTCGATTGCTTTTATGCAAGCCCATCCACCGCCGGTACCAGTGAGGTAGGATTTTGCTCAATTTGGCCTTAGTTTTGACGGCCAATTATTCTTTTATTTTTGTTTATTTCAGCCAGGCCAGCAACAGTAACAGTCTTTCTGTATCTGTAGCGAATGAAATAGGGCGATTGCATCAAAGCCAGTCAGCACCCCAGTTGTCTGGTTCGCGGCCTGGCGCACAGTTAGGATCGGAAACACGGCCACGTCTAGTGAACGCCCACCGTGTTGGCATTCGAGCGCTTGCCACAATGGCAGCCAGTGCCAACGATGAAACCCGGCAGTATAGCAAATATTCCCAAGTGAGTTACTCTGAAAGTCTTGTAATTGCCGTTTTGATCGCCATTTCCTTTAGACCCCGCCATTTGCCGAGGATATTCGATGGTTGTTCACAATATCGGTCCAGCTGGGAACACCTTACTTTGTCAGTTTCCTTGACGCCGTTGCAAAAGCCGTGTCGTCGCCGTTCTTACTTTTCCAGTTCGCTATGGAGGCAAATACGTGAGTTCTGGATTTTGTTCTGGATTCGTACATGCTGTGTGCGTGGTAATATTTTTTCTGCGTCGTTGAATGCAACCAATACGTATTAGCCTGAAACCTTTCTAACCATCCGTATCGTTTACTGCTTGACGATCTGCTATATTAGGTTTCTTGAGTACAATAGCTAGATTTTGGAATACTTCGGCGCCAGAAATCAGCGTTTTCGAGAATTGCGATTTTTTGGATCTGTAGGGGCAAAAAGCTGCTAAAGCGGTGTCCTTTGTGTAGGGAGGTGTATAGGAAAACGAATGTAAGAAAGACGCACCACACTAAAAATACATAAGCGTTTGGTGGCCCAAAGAATGTCATGTTAAAGCAACGCACGTGAAGAACAAGACATCAACAAAATCTCGGCATAGTTAGGTTGCCCAGCGTAAATGAAGTCGCTTCACCAAAAGTTCGGCACTTAGACTACTGCATCGCACGAGCCCACACGCACAGCCAGGAGTAGTTGTGTTAAGGAAGGGCAAATGAGCTCGCTATAAAGGAATCTCGTACCTTCAAGGAAGTAAAGGAAGTAATAGGGAAGGAACCTGTGTAGTGGTCTGTTAGAGCCTTTCCCATCCCTTTCAACGTCGCGCTTCTCCCCGCACTCCGTCCATCGCTGTCGGACCATATGTGTTGTTTTTAGTCAAAAGTTAGTTAGTTTTTAATGAAAGCTACGACACCAGTACAAATCCATAAAATGCCACGTTGTAGAAAATCTATCGTGCAAAACCCAGTTTTTATTTGTTTGTGGTATAGCCGGAGAACTATTACCTTGAAGAATCTTTTTTAGCCGCCTAACCTAGTCACCCAACAGTACTCCATGCCGCCAATCAATCGCTCGGTACCGCCACCACAGCCTAGCCATTCAAGCAAAGCGTTCGCTCACGTAGCCGGAAGGGTTAGTCGACTTGACAATTTGAAATCCTTGTTTTGTACATCGGAGAAAAATCGGCTGGTTTTTTATGTGAGCACTTTGAGAGCGGTACGAAGGTATCATATCCTATTTTATTCCTTTCAGGCACGAGCGGTAATGCTCCAAACCTATGCTCATCCGTCCACAGCTGAATTGTACGAACGATGTATTGAACAGTTTTACGCAGCTGCTGGTGTGAAACTCAGCCATAATCGATTCAATAGCAGTGATATGGAGGATGTGAGTGGTCTTTCTTTGCTTCCAATTTCGTCGCGAATTTTTTCGCTGATGTTTAATTCAGTTTTACTTGTGAACATTTTTGCTCATTCAAAATTGCCAGAAGGGGCGGTTCTTAATTCAAAAGGTCTAAGCATGCGGCTGGGAAACAAGGGTAAGCTTGCCTGAGATGCCAGGTATGGTTTGAAAACTGATGTGGAAACAGTTTCAGTTGAAGGTACACGCCATGTTGATGTGGGTAGAGTCCCTTGATCTTTGCGTTTTCCTCACGGGTGTAGGCCCTTCTTTGGAGAATAGCAAAACGAAGATGGAAAAAGGAGAGGACACAAGGGAGGCTTTGAGTGACTCCGCACCATAAGTTTGGGTGATTGTCGCGAATGTTGCTCTCGCCCCTTTCCATTTGGCTCATGAGTCAACCCGATTTCAAGAGTCACTGCGTGATAAGACCCAAATTTCACAGCATTGCATGAGACCCTAACCTATTTATGCTCTGGTAAAGTGACATCGAATGGTTTTGGCAGAGTAGATTTTACTGAAAACATATTTTTAGGCTCATCAATTGCTAGTCGCAGCGATTGCTGCGTTCATGCGCATACCGCACGCACCAACAGCGCACACATTGTTAGAAGACTTCTATCGACATGTGAAAAAGCAAAAAGCGTGGAAAAAGGACGTCCAGCACCGTCTGGGCTCTCTATTACACGAAGCGCTGAATCAACAACGGTAACGATAGTTATTTTCCTTAGTCTTAGCAAATTCTTTACCTTCTCTATCTCATCTAATCTAACTGATTCGTTTGATCATCTTTCGTCCGTCTCTCTATCTCTTAAGGGTGGGTAGTGTCTATTGACGATGTCTGTCGATTTAGAACATCTTTTTTCTCATGTTAACCTCCTTTTCTGTATTTATATTTATTTATTATTCATTTATTGTTACATGTATATCATATTTATTGAGCCCCATACGTAACCAAACATCTAATAGGGTCCATGTGCGAAAGGAGGGAGGGGCCATGTGGTAGTAATTTGTGCCCGCTACAGTAATCAGTTTTGGAGGAGAAATAAGCTCCGGAATGCGTAAAATGTTTCGTTTTCAATTCAGCTTCGCTCTTTCAAAAATTGGATTACTGTAGGCGGCACAAACTATTGCACCGCATGTCCCTTCCCCCGGACATAGACCCCGTCTTAATGATAGACATTTCTTCTTGAAGTTTACCCCCGTTCAACATTTGCAAGCGTTCTGAAAGCGCAATTGATCTTTTATTCGAGAATTGTTACCGGAATATCATACAAAGTCATTCGCCTCGAATACAGTACGGCACTGTAAAGAGTAGGAGAGCGCGAAGTGTGAGTGATTCGGGAAGTCATTCGAGAATATTAACGTTGCCCTAATTGTCCTCATATTTCACTCATAGTAACAACCCCTTTATTTGCTCGTATCTGCTGTTATCTCGCTTGTTGTACATGTACAATTCTTCACCAGATCGTTCAATGCCCTTCGTGTACGTTCCTCGTCTTTGCATACCTCCATTTGATCAATAAATTAATTTGTCCATATGTGCGATATGTTGAAAGTCTGGCGAAGCCATGAAACGATAAAATGCTGGGGACTGATCGATGCTGCTGGAATGGGTTATGCGTATAATTTTAGTTTTTTTTTCGTCTGTGGTTTTTATCTGCGTATAGCATCTGCGTACTCTGCTTTCAAAAACCAGAATGCGCGTCGAGTGCAGACCACACACCACAAGTGACGACGGCCTCTCACAAAATGTAAATGTTTTCTGCCAATGAAATGATTAGCCTGTTGCAGTTGTATTCTATCAGTTGTCACTAATTACAACTATCATTTACCAACTATCAGCTATCACTATGAACCAGATTTACTTGGAGGTCGTCGTCACTTGTGGTGTGTGGTCTGCACTCGACGCGCATCTGCTTTTTGGTGGCAGAGTATATGCAGTGAGTTGTCGTGCCGAATAATATGCAAGCTCGGCCAGCCGTGGTGTCCTCGTCGTTTTACATAAGTGACTCTCTCTTCCCCCGCCTCCCCCGTCCTTCTGGCCGCCGACCCCACTCCGGTTTGGTGGTGTTTTGGAAGTTGAATGGTTGGTCTTGGATCAACCTGACACACCTCTGAGTACCTTCTTTCCCGGAATAGTGCATAGAGGAAAGTTGTACATAAACCTGAGGTGCAAACTGAATTTGAATGTATTTTAGGTTTTTTTTTCTCAATTTTGCAAGGAAGTGTGTCCAATTTTGTCAGTTCTGGGAATATAGTTGTGTTCAATGTTTTAGCTTCCTGAGGCACTTTTATTCAGA